ATATATATATATATATATATATATATATATATAATATTTTGCCAGTCTTATCCTTTAAAGTTGTATTTATGGAGCACTTATAAGAAGAAGACAAGCAGTGAAAGGTTATGATTTAGTGGTATGAAGATGGGGGCATTTTTGTAATCCAAACAATCATCAGAACATTTACATTCAAACCATAAACCCTGAAAGTTAGATAAGCCATTTATATGAAGATGGGTAAAATGATGATGTTCACACTCTTTATTGCATCCCTGATGCTGTCAGTGTTTTACCTGCACATGATGTTGCGCAGTTTCTCCAGGTTGGCAGGAGTGAAGTACCAATAGTTTCGGTCACAGCGCTGGACATCCTTTTCAATGCGGTGTAGATTTAATGTATACAAGTCCAAAAGCTCTTGCTGAAACAAACAAACAATAAATGAATAGATAAATCAAGCTCATAATAGTGTTGTATTGCCCTAGCATAAATTAATCTAAACACTCAAAGAAATACGTGTGCATACAGAGAAGGTACTCCCAGCAGATTCTTGAGAGGTGGCGTCATTCTTGGTGTCTCCAGACTCGGCCAGACAGTCAAAGTTGGGGTAAAGGCTCTCCATCTCTGGCTCCAAACACAGGATGGGCTTTGCGCTGTCTGCACTGTGCTTTACCTGCTCGTCCTCCTGACTGAGCGCTATGTGGGGGGCCGAGTCCTCAGAGAAAGACGTTGCTTTACAGCGTCCCTTTCTGCTCAAAGGAATCATGGAAACTTTGCCTATTGGGATCTCCTCCATCTCTATGGCTGAGGGAGACTCATCGGATTCAGTCATAACCTGAGCTTCGTCTGTCTGGGAGGCAAAGTAGGCCCCTCTTGGTCTCGAGACCTCGGTGTCGGCTGAGAAAACTAGGTTCTTTTCAACTTCAGGAGTCTTGTGATCAATGGATATATTTTCTCTCCAATCTGCCAATAAAACGTCTTGTGGTTTACTTACACACAACTTTGATCCGTCCGTTTCATTCATCTTTTCTACATTTGTTTCTGCAGATTTCTTACACTTTGAAGTTTCTTCAATACTCACTTCTGCTGCTTTTTTAAGACTTTGCTCAACAAGTTCTCCTTTTGATCCCGTATCAGCTGCTGACACCATCATAGTATCCTCATCAGGCACTTCTTTTTCTGTTTCCCCCGACTCTACAGATGTAACTCCTGTAATGTCTGCCAGTGCATCTTTATTTTCACACTTGGGCCCCTCTGTTTGAATGGCTCCAGACTCCTCAACAGTTTCTTGTGTTTTGGGTTGCAGACTTGTGTCTTTGTTGGCCTTCACCAGCTCCTCAGGCTTGGTATTTTCTGCAGATTTGGTCACATCAGGTGCTTTCTCCTCCTCCTCTTTGTTCTTCCCTTTACATCTCACCTGGCTGTCCAGCTCATCTGTCGGACATTCACTTTCTACCCCTGCAGGTTTGACTGGGCTCTGTGGTGCCTGAGGAACAGCTGCAGATCTCGGGATTGTATCAGGTACAGTGCTGTCCTCTGTGCTGAGTGAGCCTTCCGACAGGCCGGAAGTGACTGAGAAGTTGCGGGAGGAGGGATGACCGGAGTCGGGAGAGTTTATCCCATTCTGCAGAGCTCCATTGGGTATCTTTGGCACCTGTTTGGCCTCCTCGCTCTTCGGCTCCGTCTCGATCTGATCAACCTCCTCAACGGACTCAAACACCTGAAAGAACAAGCCAAAGGGAAGCAGGCTACTCCAGGGGAAGGGATGGGAGGATGTGAAGAACTAGCAAGGGAGAGAATGCAGGGATAAGGAGTATTGGTTGAGATCACATGCATTACTTTAGGATCAGGATATTAGAAGTCTAAAAAGTCTAACAGAAGAGTCATTCAGTTTGCATGAAGGACCATTTTTAAAAGGCTATGCAGGCTGTAATATGGTGAGTATTTGATACCTGTGTGCTGCTGCTGGTGTCACTCTGCAGGCGAGCCAGACTCTGCCCGTCTGAGCTCTGGGGGGACTGGGTAATAAAGACATTCAGACCAATATATTATTAAAAACATGTTTTACTGATATGCATCTTTGTTATCGTTGGCTCATGACGTGCTGTGCTCACAATAAAGGTATACTCTGGTGAGTATTGGAATTGAGTACAGTTGCAGGAAAAAAGAATGGTTAAAAGTTCCAGGCATGGGCCAAGCCCCAAAACGGTTCGATTCTACCTTCTCCCATGATGCAACCAATATTCCCTTTAGACCTTCTCAGCTTGATAATTGTCTTTTATCATGCAGATTTGTTATAGAATAGAAAGCTACAAGCTATAGACAGTTGCCCAACAGTTATGCAACTGTACTGCCGTAACTAGTAAACAGACCTTTACTTGTAAAATTGGACACATTTATTTCCTAACTGTGAATATAAGTGAGCATTACTGCATCACCTCATTGCTGACAGTGGAGTTGTGGTGGATCATCTTCTGACTGGAGCTGTCCATGCTCACTACTGAGGAGCACTTTGCTAATGCAGCAGCGTGCTGCTCCTTCTCCCGCTGGCGGACAATCTCCTCACAGCAGAGCCACTCACGCATGGTCTGCTGGTAGCACACTCGGACCTGTTCGTCCACCTGCGGTGAGGGGTGGAGCGATCAAGGGTCAGTGGTTCAGGTTGAAAATACTTTGAACGCAAAGCCATAATCGTGCCAACTACAAACCTCTTTCCTCTCAGCTTCTGACATTCCAAACTGGTAATGACCCAGCAGAAAAGGCCACACCTCTTTACGCAGCGAGGCGTCCACACCACCGAAGTAGACCAGACGAAGGAGCTCCTTCTCATCGTATGCCTGAAGACAAAAGATAAAATTACTTTTAAATTTTTTTTTTTTTTTAATCAATCTTTGGATTTGCCCCTTCATTAAAAGTACAATTATCACTATCTGCAAGTTTAAAACATTCAATAGCCTGATGGTAGCTTTTACTGTGAATGCATGTAATGACTAATGCAGGAGAGGTTGGTAGATGGTAGAGATTACATGCACTGGTGTGTGTGATTACACAGTATGTATGTGCTCAGTATTTACTTCACAGGAAGATAAATAAAAATCTAATGTAAGTTAAATCCAGTTTAAAAGCAACTGTCGACCACTGTTACTCAACCACTAATCTTTTGTTTAATTAAGTGTTTAAAGGGTTATGTTGTGTCTCTCCATATTAGTTACATTGTTTTTTACATTGAGTTTGATAGGGTTACTCAAAGACATATCCACTAATCATGAGATGAGATAGTAAATGGACCATTGTTTGTTAACTACTGTTTCTACGGTCAATTAACTGAGTCACTTTTGTGATGGCTAAGGTAATCAAATATTAAATTAGTGTTATTCCCAAAAAACAAACCAGTTTTAAGACAAATATTTGCTTACAAAACATGTAAAATCCTTTTTTTATGTTCAGTTCAAACCCTCCATGGCATTAGGTAAATGTAACTGATGTCCATATAAATGTGGACTTTAAGACTGACGGGGCCATTAGTCTCGCTTCATGCACACTGCTGTGAGACTAATGGTGTGAGCCACATGATTAGCAGAGGATGAATATGGATGAGACAGAAGACTGAAGGAGTGAAAGACAGAGCCTGGGAGTGGACATGCATGTGTGTGTATGTGCACACAGCATACTGTCTGCAGCAATGTGAGGTTTGGGTTGCAGTGCTGTGACACCAGCGATGCTTACTGTGCAGTCCTGGAGGAAGGTCTGCCACACATCCGTAGTGAGCCCTTTGTAGGCATCGCACGGCACCTCGGGCGCCACAATGGTGTGATTGACGAGAGCAGAGAGGTGTGTACGCACGGTGGACAGGTGACGGCAGTATGCCAACCCTGGTTGACAATACAGTTCATTACTGAATGGCTCTGCAGATGGTAGTGATAATTGAAATGAGGATAGTACGTACTACCTCCAACACATTTTCCAAGTGAAGCTGAATCGATGCTAATATTTAAGGATTTTCAGGGTAAATATGACGGAATCACTTACAGCCATAAAACGCCCGAGAGATGATCTGATTCTTCATGTTGTCGCACAGCAGCTTCAGAGGAGCCCTGCAGGAAGATACAGCACAGAACCTTATGTCGAGGACTCACTGTTCTCTTCTCTTTCCTTAAAGGACAATCATCAAACATGAGAAGTTACTCATATTGTCCTGAGATACTGTGCCTAATGTAGAGTTTATTACAGTGTTGGGTCTAACCTTTTATCATTCAAATGATTACCTGACATATAGAACAAATTGGCCCGGAGGCTTGCCTTTGTTTCATAGCCTTCAACCATCTTATCAGCCTCGCTTATCACCTCATTTTCCAAACACATTCTCATGTCAGAGAGGTAAATGTCAGATAATTGTCTTCCTAGGTAATTGCAAAGTTGTTGTATCTTTGCTCCTTTCTCAGTTTTGTCTCTATTGTTGAGGATTTCTGGTCGGCACTGAGGGATGTCAGGTTTGTTACTTTGTGTCTTCAGCAGTTTCTCTGTCAGCACAACTCAGTCTAGCTTGAAGCGTGCTTATGTCTAACCTCTCATGGTTGCACCCCTTGGGCGTCGCCCCATCAGAGAAGCTCCCCTGAGAACAAGAGGAACACGAGGACTTCCTGAGAGTGGGATTCCACATTGTAGCTCCCTGATCCATCAAGTCTGGAGGAGTCACTGCAACATGCACGCACACACAAACAATCACTGTCACTAAAAAAAGCATTATGCTACAGAGGCTTTCAACAACAATTACATCTGCACTTAGAAGATTTAAACACAGCTGGAAACACTTTGCATGAGCAGAATTATGCTCATCAATTGTGATCTGCTGAAAGCGCTTCAGAGTACAATTAGTTTGTGCTTGATTCCTGTTGGAGCAAAGATAAAGCATGGAAACAAAACATTCATGCGATCTGGAATAGATGCACAATTTGAAAGCATGAAGCTGTCATATTCTATTACAATAATATAGAGAGATAGAGCGATTGAGTGATACGCCATGAGCCATGTTCGATCAATCAGTTATCCACCTATTGGCTGTTAAAAGGTTACTGCGCTGTAATGCAGTAAGAAGGGGTGACACAAGGCGGCAGGGAGTGGGAGGGGCTTTAATAACAATGCACATCAATAAACTTTGCCAGAGGCGCAGGACAGGTCAGGAGGATTTCAGATGCAGAGAGTTAAAGCAAGCTGACAGACGAGCCGAGGTGTGACAGTGTTACAGCCGCGTCCTGTGAGGGAGGGGGATTCTTCAGGACAGCTGCAGGACCTCTTGGGTACAACCAGGATCCCTGTTTTGGACGACGACTGTCCACTCAGTTGAAGGGAGAGGGAGGAAGTCAGATGGGGAGGATGGGTTACAGTTACTGTAACAAACAACGAGTAGCATTTTCATAAAAATACAAGAATTTGGAGAGGCTCGTGGGCGCTGATCATATTTATTTGCTTCTCTGGGAGGAATCTCACCAAACTCTGACTGGCTGTTTGGAAAGAGGATGCGGAAGACATAGTCTGTGGCCTCGTCCTCCTTATCCGAGACCGAGTCTGAGGATCCAGATCCCTGAGGAACCCTGTTACGCAGCTTGGGAAACACCTTCCCCTGCAATGAGAATACAACTGATATTAAACTAATGCCAACAACCAAAATGCCTCAACCATTAGAGCCCAGCTAAACCATCCATGTGAATTAAAGATGATGAGTGTCTGCATGCTTCAGCTTATTAATAGTGTTTGAGCATGCGTGGGTGGTTTTCATTATTCTGTTTAGCTGCTCATACAATGCTACTCACAGTCTAATCAAAAACATCCATTCAAGAAGACACTTTTTGTGTGGTGATGCAGAGGGAACATTAAGTCTCGCATTCATTAGTGTCACTCCAACTAATATCACAATAACAAAGTGCATCTGTTTCTAAATGTGTTTTTTTTAGGGATTTATTGATCAGATAGGTGTGATTTTGCATTTTAGTGCTCTTTTTCTTGAAGAATGGCCGATATGTGTAATTTATGCTCTAGAAGTGAAGCCAGGGAGCGACCCCAAAGAAAAAACCTCAAATGCTGACCTTTCCCCTCTGGGACCAGAGTGGAGGGTCCAGCTGGCCGTGGGGAAGCAGGCCGTTCTCCAGGCAGGAGAGGAACTGGAGCAAGTGGCCTCCTCTGGGGAAGCGAAGTGGAGGTCTCTGTATCCCATCCTGACTGACCAGCACCACCGTCCCCCCGCTGTCAACTGCAGGAGATGTTTTCTTAGTTTAACTATTCATGATGCCATATTATTAGACAGCTGTGTTTAATTGCAGACAGTTATAACAAATAGAAAAGGCAGAAATTACACACAAACACAGAGTCAGAATTGTGCTGTAAAGGTTTGTGAGGACCCACCTTGTTGATGACAGTGTAAGTAAACTATCTCCCCCAGAGGGATGGTCATGGCATAATCCCAGTATACACTGAAAAACATTAATTAAATACATAGTCAATAAAATAGCGCCCCAGACTCATCTTAGCACAACGCGTGGATCACCAGCTAACAGGGAAAAGCAAATCCACAGGGAATGTCAATCGAAGTTAAAATCTCAAGGACAATTAATTTTATGGCAAATAAAAAGAGTAGTCGGGAGAGTGCGCACAGACGAGCAGGAGCAGAGTGGACTAATGCAATAATACATTTTTTGGTGAGACGAACCATGCACAGACACAGGAACATAACACAGTTTGCGGGTTTGAGAGATGTCTGACAGTCAATAAATCATCTGCTGGAGTGCTCATAATAAGCCTCATCAGAGCAGCTGCATTGACTCTGCATACTGAGCCCCCGAGCCACCCACAAACACACTGCATTATTCAGCAACACCCGAGTGTTACACAAACAGCTGATAAAAGACGTTAAGATAAACGACGAGTGTTTACACGTTAGATATTCTTATATGAGAAGGATTGCCAATATCATCAAACACAGGCTTTGTAGACAGACACAATCGGCATAATCGTGATCCATTTTGCAGCTGGATCATTTTGCACCTGTGTTCGTAGTCCAAGTCTGCAACAGAGCCGTTCATGAGCTGGTTGGGTGTCCACTTCAGGGTCATGAGGTCAGCATTCTGGTGCAGAGAGAGGTAACCTGGGATAGCCTCCATGTCGTCCCTCTGAAACAACCGCGATTATGAAGAAAATGCTATGTACGGCCGTCGTGTGCATGCATTTACATTTTGGTCTTATTAACCTGGATGCATATACGGTCTTATACGGCGTTCTGAAATGTATGGGATGACAATACAAAATGCAAACTAGTATTTTGTTCATGGCTTTAACTTGCAAATAAATATTCCTCAGGTGTTAATGACACTTTTTAGCTGTGACATTTCTATAAAATGTCAGACAGAACTATTGTCAGTCTGTTTATAAAACGTTGTTGTGGCAGACAGCGTGGAGAAATAATTTCTTATCTTCTGTAAACTTGTAGCTTTTAAATTGATATATATATATATATATATATATATATATATATATATTTATTTTTCTGGGGTTGTCATAGCTATACAGCGATGAGTGAAAAAGAGGCATCAGACAGTTACCGGTTGTACAAGCACGTTGTTTTTGCCAAACAGGAGGGTCACTCTGCTGTTTTGATGCAGCGACTCCACATATTCACGAGCTGATGGCGAGGGGGAAGGGCGTTCATCCATGCTGCTGCTGGAGTGCCGCTTCTGGATCTGCACAACACAGACACAAAATGCATCACATCAGATAACAAACATCGTAAACTGGTGACTATCGTGGCAGAATTAATTACAGCTGGCCAGTCACAGTACAGCCATTTTCAATGAATAACATTTCGTTTTCACATGACTCAAGATAATAGAAATATGAGATTCATTCATGTGCACCAATGCATGCATCCTCCCGTGTTCCTGATGCCAATGACTTGAATGCTTTTGTCTGGAATATACACAGATACAAATACACAGCACCAAGCAACTGTAAAGAGCATTGTGGTGCTGTGAGATAGATGAGTTGACCTGGTTCACTGGTAACCTGAACATTGAACAAGTATGAAGGTCTCAGATACACTTTCTCCGGGGACACGCTACTTCACTTTATGCACTAATCTTAGCAGGTCCTCTTTAATCAGATGAGATCTCAGAAGGGAATGAATCTGGTCACACTAAACCTCTGCCAGCGAGACATGTGTGATAAACTAAAACGAGCCTGGCACTAATTCTGCATGTTCATCTATTGTATTACCAGTCTTAATACTCACACACAGTGCAGGCCTCTTAGTGGGAGAATCCTGTCTGCAGTGGCCACCATGGATACGATGTCTTTGCACCAACTCGTCAGCAGACGGGTCTGTCCAGAAGTGGTCGGCTGTCTTCATCTTTGTGTACTCCAAAGCACAAGGTCCAACTGTCGAGTGAAGGTGAACAGTTACATAGAGCAGACACTAGGTATAAGATTTCACTAACCAGTGATCAGCACCGGATTATCCTAAACATCAATGAGCACACTAAGAGTAAGAGAAGGGATACATTTTTGTACTAAAAGGTAGATTTTTCAGTCATGTATTGTAAGAAGCCTCAGATGAGCTCCCTTTTGATCCACCATAAAGGTACGAAGAATATTATGATAGTTTAGAGGGGCAGCTCCCAACCCATTATAACTCTCTTTGGTCGGGAATCGCTGCATTAGGGTACAAAATGATACCAGCCTAATCTGAAAGGTACAGGTCAAATTGATCAGATTGGCCACATTCAGAACCAAAAGCAATGCTTCTGGCTCGGACTCAAAAAGCTGTGTCAGTGTTCACTGGTGGGAAGCTGGTGAGGGACCAGGTCCCTGTTACAGCAGAACAGACCTCTACTAGTTAGCCTATCAGCACTTCTTGCTCGAGTCTAAAAACTCCTGTGGTCAAGTGCAGAAACAAGGACTGAAGTACAGGAGGAACTGGCTATTATGCTTAGTCCACATGGCATCAGGCAGTCGGCAAACCGATATTTAAGTGGGCGAGAGCAGGACAGTAAAATTAGGTGAGGCTGGCAGAGAATACCGGCAACAGTAACGGTAGACAGCAGTCCAAAGTTAAAATATTCTAACTTATCGCCGTCCTCCGCAAGCAAATTTACAAACAGATGGACGTAGCTCCCTTACCCAAGGAGAATGGTTTTTAAGTTTGTACTAGAATATTATGAGAAAGCAGCTATTTGTAGCGACATGCATTACTGCAATAATTACATAAAGAAATTTAATTTAATATATTTTATTCCATCACCATAGCAATATATCGACACACGTTTTGTTTGTTTGTTCTTCTGATGCCGTCCAGGGGGTTTGGTCCGTCTGGAGTCTGCCTGATTCCATGTGAACGCAGCATTAGTACAAATGAAAAAAAGGGTACCACAATGTCCCTGTATAGGGTACTGGTCCAGGAACAAGCTTTTGTACTGAAAACAAAAGCATGAGCCCAAACAGAGTGTAGCACATAATGCAAGATGACAACATTAAAAGACAACAAATACTCACAATGTCACACATAATTACCTAACAAAGAGGCAAGGATAGGTCCGTCCACAGGGTCCATTAGAACAGCCTCTTTCTCGTAGTATTTACTGTAAGACAAACGTGAAAGGGTGGTTTTGAGGGGACATAGAGTTCTTGTAACAGAAGCAGCCGTTTCATTGACCCTTCTCAACGTACCTGCTGTTCTCCACCAGGTAGAGGACAATCTTGTCCAACACCTTCTCAAATAGAGCCGTGCGGATCCACAGGTTCTTGACTCCCTGCGGGCTGAGACCGGGCAGTCGGGGCATCTTGCGAAGGCTGTCCTGACTTTGCAAGCTTTGACTTCGTCTGCAGGAGGAGGTGATTTACAAGTTTCAATATAAACAATACAAGTATAACACGGTTTAGAATTCCATTGAGTAAAACTGCATCTGCTTGACGCTAATGGCATCAGTGATTCATGATTCATAAAAGCTCAAATACATGAATTATTTAGAGGTTTTTCACAGCAAAAAAAATTGCCCTTCAAGTAAGCAGACAGCCGTTTGTTTTCAGTGCTTTCGCTCACACCAGGCTTTGATGTAAGCTTTGAAGTCTGCTGTGATGTGTGACAACGAGCCGGGACGTGTGCGTCTCTCACTTTGTCTCGATGATCTGCTCCAGCTCCTGGGCCTTCCTACACAGCTCCTCAGCTGGGACGAAGCTCTTTCCCACCTTCATGAAGAGCGCCGCTATCTTGTTGCTACGCAGAAAGCCGGCTGCTCGCCGTCTCAGCCCGTGCAGAACACATGCCTCCACTGCAGCTGTGTGGACACAAACATATGATTAAACAAAAAAAAAAAAAGATAGATATTATATGCAGGAAGAGCATATCAATAAAGGACAGCAGACACCTCAGTCTCTCCTTTGAGCTCCGTTTTAGTCACCACCGACTGCAAGATGACTGAAAGATGCCATGGAGCTTATACATAACAGAGTAAATTCACCAATTGTTAACATAAAAAATATTTTTGAAAGTACAGCTCTAATTTGTAACACTTAAAATCACTTAAAATTGGATTTTAAAAAAAATGCAATTTTGGGATATTAGCGCTTGATATGTTGTGACACAAATCCAGAAGTTTTGTGGCACAAAATATTTGGCATACGTGTCATGTCATACATCCACTTCAATTCAATTAACTTTATTTTGCCGGGATAATCAACTCTGTGTCTACGCACTTTCCAGGGAATCCTGGGCACAAATGTGGGTTTCTTCACCATCTGCATTTCTGCACAGTGACTATCTTCTGTATTTATGCGTTTAATATGGTGTTTATATCAAGCCTACATACATATCGGTTGACACTGTGCATTTAAATATGAAATTAAGCTTGTGGCAACTGGTGAAAATGCGTGTTGTGTTTGTGCTCAATACATAATCAAACCCTTCTGCTACATTCTCAGGAGACGTGTGTTTTCAGGGTTAAAGACTGCATATTTCTTAAATGGATTTTCTGGATGGAGAAAAGAAACATTTTAACAAATTCAGGTTTTCACATAATCATCTTTGCATGACCTATGTTCGTCCAATGAGCTGTAATGGACACACGAGTCGATGACACGGTGACACACGTGCACAAAAGCAGACAGCCCTCTTCCCTCTCATGCCTACGTGGCAGCACCTGGAGCTGTGTTGACATTTGAGTTGTCTTTCAGGACTAATCCTGTGGCTCTGTTCACATGGGGTCAGGGGGAAGGCTGGTGTTGCCATGGGAACCCCTGTTGATGGAGCCGTGGAGAGACGAGCGGGGGGGGGGGCGGCAGCTCATCAGCATCACGATCTCTCTCTATCTCCATCATCCTCACTCCTTCAAACACAGCTTCCATCCCGCCCTTTATCATATCGCTCAGCACATCTGTGTCACTGCTGTTACCACCATCTCTGTTAACAGCTTCTACAGGACGATACAAGTGTCGTCACAGCCGTCAACTTTCACTTTTCTTTTTGTCAAAATATGTCAATTTCTGCTTTCTTCTCTCTCTCTCTTCCTTCATTTCGCTCCGTGCCATTTTCCCCCCCACATCATTATTAGAGCAAGAAGCTAAATGTCAGCACACGTTACCCTTTAACATTAAAAGGTCTCCAAATATAGTTCATCATCCTTAGTCTCATTGTTTTTGTTAATTAGTCTCAGATGGCAAAAGAGCAAAAAAAAAAAGCAACTCCTTACTGTCTATCTACCAAGCTATACAGAGAATTCCCACGTGTCAAAAAGAAGTGTTCAGTATGAGACACAATGCAGGGAGATAGAACAGGTGTTCTGTAAAATGAAATGTGTGATCCGACCCAAGTTCCTACAAAAATAATCACAAACAGCAGTGACAAGAAAATGAGTTCATGCATGTTGGATCAGTCCTTTGTGTGGTCCTCCGCAGTAAAAATAGCTGAAAATGGTAAATTGCTTCTAACCATCCTGTATCTGTGGCAACTGAGTGCATTAAAAGACTGTTAGACAGTGACAGAGAGTAACACTGTGTTCGTTATCTAATATAATTTAAAATACATTTAAAAAAAAAAAAAAAAAAAACACAATTAGTGATCACAGCTTCTGATTTGTGAGCATTGGCTTGTTTCATATACAGAATGATTAATCAGTTGATTGCGGATTAATAAACAGCCATTAGTTGCAGATCGAAATATGTGACGCTTCACCACCAATACACATTAATATACATCTATATTATGTAATAATATTTACTTTTCTATCATTCAATTGAGCAATATACGACATCCAGAGCATTAATAAACAGCAAACAACTATTTGCTATAGATATAGTGGATTAATGGCTATCTGGGCAGAGAATGAAGATGCTCTCCCTCTGTGTGTTATCCGAGCTTCTCCTCGCTTTGTTGACACAACCAGCCAGCCGCGCATGCTTTTTAGTGCATATTAGTGCATGTGAGCGTGCCCCACTGGCTCGAGTGTGCCGCCTGCGCTGCTCTCATACGGCGGTGTTACAGATTATAAAGCCGTCCCGACGACAGCGTCATCACTGAAGCATAGCGGCCACCATCATGTTCCCCCTCAGGTAAACACTGTTAGCTCTGTCAGCTTGTTTGCACTGTTAGCACCGTTAGCTACGAGCTTGTAGTGTAGAGCACGTGATAGGAATATACAAAAAAATAATTGAACTGGTATGACATTTATGATAAATGGTTATATTTGATAGTATGAATAAGTCAAATGCTGCTTTAAAAACATGACCATCACTGGTCTAAATTGCAACTATAGTGAGATGAATTTCAACTGATTTGGCTGCCAGTCTAACTTTAGTCACAACTTTGCTCCCTTTGTCTACAAAGTTGGTCAAATTGTCATTACATACAAACATTAGCATCTTCATAAAGCATGTTGTAAGTTTTCAGCACATTGATTAATCGATCTTCAAGTCATTTAGCTGCGACACGCAAATTTACTTTAACACACAGGAGAAAGAAAGAAAGTGCAATTTGTTAACTAAGAATAAACAGTTTAATTCAGGAAATGAACTGATTTTATAATCTATCAATAAAGCTACACTGTATGGTGGTCTTCAGCTTTGCTATGCCACTTTTCATTGCTTCATAACTCAAGCCAACGGTGGCTTTCTGACACACATTCCCTCCACAGCGTCTGAATTTCAGAGTCTGCCTGCACCTCATCAAAGTGGCCATGATGATGGAGGCTAATTGCTCCCTGTTGAGCTGGCCGAGCTCCTCTCCCATCCTCCACTCCCTCTCATCTCTAAACAGACCGCAGCTGAAAGAGGACGTATAGTAACAAGACTCACTGTCTATAAGGATCACAGGAGGAGTCAGGAGGAGTCAGGAGGAGGCGGAAACTGGCTGACAACAAAATAATAGAAATGAGAGGGTCATCCTGAGCTTATTTTTGTCCACTGGGACATATGACAGGCCTCAGACTGACCAGCAGCTATTACAGGCAGGTTAGATGATACAACGGATAATGTCCACACCGCAGGCAAGGGATAATTTAAAAAAAAAAAAACATACAGCACATATACAATGGACACAATACTAATTGATGTAAAAAAATAAAACCACTTGTGTTGCAATTCACGTATGTCCAAAATGTAATCACAAGACATTTGTGTGAAATTATCAAAATTATCATATTCATTATTGACTTATGGACAAAAAAAAAACATGTTTTCTGATGTCACATTGACCTTTGACCTCCAAAATATGATCAATTCATCCTTGAGTGCAAGTGGAGTGGAAGTTTGTGCCAAATTTTGAGTTTGTGCCAAATTTGACGAAATTCCCTCCAGGCGTTCCTGAGATATCATGTTCAATGCATCGCATGGACGGACGGACGGACGGCGAACTCGAAAACATAATGTCTCGGTCACGACTGTCGCCGCCATGGGGACAAAACAAAACACTTTAATCAAAATCTGTGGTCTGTGACAAATTATTTTCATTACCGTCCAAAGGAAAGTAAAACCATAAAAAGAGATTTGGGGTAAGCTGGTAACTGGGTGGGAAAGATGTCCAACATCATTTGCTTATGCTGATTTTATATATATATATATATATATTTGAACTGTCCTGTCAATTCTTTTCACATTGTGAAAGGAACTATTTGTGTGCGTGTGTCATCACATGAGTTAAGAAGTACTTGTCAAGTCTGCACGCATGGCTTCCAGGTAGTCAAAATATCAAATTTTCTGCTAAATGAAAGTAATTTTATTCCCACTGAAATCCCAAAATATATCTTGTTATGGATCACAGCTCTGGACTGAGCCAGACATCTGACTAGTGTGAGCACCTGCACGTGGGCAGCGTGTTTCTCACAGGATTCATGCTGCACTCTGTTAGTGCCATTTGGAGGAAAGAACAATAACATTTGGTGAAATACTGAACTTTAAATGTCCTTTATTTCTATACCGCACTGATTATATGATTGTACAAAAGTTATGCTGAAGATGTGGGACTTTACGTCACTGGGCCGACTGTCTTTTTTTAATGAAGTAGGTGAAATCTCAACTTCCTTCTCGAGATGTAATGAGGCAAATATGTTCTTTTTGTTGGACAAAGACCTCTATTACAGGAAAACCAATCCAATAATAAGGACTACCACTTTATTCTGTCCTCTCTGATGGACTAAGATTGGTGTTGCCAGGTATTCTAAACTACTGCATGTATATTGTGTTAAGAATACTTCTGTATGCAAATGATTGTTGGTAAATGTGAATAATTTGTGTTCTATTCCTGACCCTTTGTTTACATGCATTTGGTTCTGTTCCAACACATTTTGCTTTCTGTTACGCCCACTGGCTTTCCTCTGGCCTCTTATTGGAAGAGAGCTGTTAGTCTGCGTTTCAGGTCTGCCACGCCCCTTTTAGTGGCTGGAGCACTCACAGCTGAGATTCATCAGTGCGTCAGTGGAGCTGCACGTAGACCCCCAGAACCAGTGCTCTTGCCCTTTTTTCTTGCCCTTCGAGCTGTTTGTTGGTTGCTGTCGGGAGCATTGCTTCTGCTGAACTTCTGTTTTGTTAGCTCCTTGGCACAGCTCTGTTGTAGTTATCCTCTCTCCTGGCTGGCTAGTTGGTAGGATGATTATTTCAATTTTTGCAAAGGTTTTGCATAAACTAGTTATGTTACTCGCTGTGTCCCCTTAGACACATTCCCACAAACACATGGCAGGGTTATTGCCGTCTACTAGGAGAACTGGAACATTGAGTGTATTTGTGAGTAACATTTTATTCTTAAAATGGCTGCAGAGTGGAATTATAAAAAATATGTCAAAACCACAGTGTACTTAATTGCCTTCCTGTGCATTATTTTGTTTCATCATGTACTTCATTTTTTTTTTGTCCTGTGATCAATAATGTTGGACCTAGGTAGATGGAAATGGAGATATGTCAATAGAAATGAAAGGAATTCATTTAAAGTTAAAGAAAGCAGTTCATGTAGAGAAATAAAATCAACAGGTTAAAATGAATCAAAGTAGTAATGGCAACCTACAAATATATGGAAGGTGATAGATTCAAGACGACAATATAAAGGTGACGCAAATAACTAAAATCGACAATATCAGGAATGATTTGAATAAAAAGAAAACGCTGGCTATTTTCAGTGTGGCAGAATTGTTAAAGCTGAAGAAGTTATAAAGGAGCAAAAGCTTTGTGATTCATCCTGTTTGTTGGTTACTTACCACAAAAAGACACGATATGGCTGCTGTCTTCGTGAACAAATTTCCTGGTGACGGCTTCCTCCATAATCTGCTTCACCTGTCAATGACATGCCAGATGCTGGATGACTCACTCATTAACATGCCACAAGTGATGCATACAGTCAGTGAGGGGCGAGTTGGTGAGAACATATTTCAGAGAATAATGAGAATTTATAAGAAATGTATATTAAAAAGAATAGGGTGATATGATGGAATGAGAGCATAGGGCTCAGGGGTTAAAGAGTAAAGAGGAAGAAAAACACTGAGTGGGAACAATGCATTTTAAATTGGTGGATGAGTCACCAGCTTTCGTCCCAAGGACCTCTACTGGGAAATGGGGGTGGGAGAATAAAGGGAAGGGGAGGGGCGTTCACCCATTTCTGAACAGTTTGTATCCTCAGTGGGAGCAATTGATTCTGTTATGTCAAAGGCTAATGACATCCTATTCATTGAAACCCAACTTCTTAAAAAGATTGGAGGTCACACACGTGCTCACAAGGTAACTCATTAGCTCATTAGTTAGGTTTTATCGTCACGGCAAAGTGCCCCTCTTTGCTGGCCTGACATCAGCTACAGAGCAACTGATAAATCAATCCCTCTGGTGGCTATGGAGACGTCTCCCTGTGTGGGCAGCAATCTGCATGGGGAATAGCAACCTCTGGACACGGCCACGGCCACGCAGATAGCTGTAATTTCCTGTTGAAATGAGTCTGTCCACAACGACCCTATTACACTGCCAAGTTCACCCTCCACACACACACACACACACACACACACACACACACACACACACACACACACACACACACACACACACACACACACACACAGCTATTCACTCCAGCGGCTGACACTCCCTCTGCTCTATTGTATCCTTCTTTCCAATCTGCACATTGTTGGGATCTGACGATATGGCTTCGACATGTGCTGTGGAACAAAGAGAGTCAGGCCTTCTCTTTTGCAAGCAAAGGTTTCATCCTGATTGTAGTTTGAGCACCAAACCCCCAGCTCTGAAGAAATTCACATTAGGGTGTGAGTTTCCTCCCCCCAAAATCAATGTGTTCCTGAAGTTACCTGAAAGCAGCGCTGCAATCTAATTGGCCGAGAGCCAAGACACCCCAGGACCCCTGTGGTTCAGCCACTGTTCTACAAAACTACCTGCAACCCCCACCTCAATGATTTTTCCCCTTCGACCTCCGTCGAGCTAGGGAGCACACCAACGTTGTTTCCCTTTTCAACCAAATCCTAGGTCTAACAGTTTATATTCGCTGGCCGAATTCACCAAACTGTCTATTTTATCTTTGTTCGTATCCACGAAGCGAACCTTTTTATTCCTGCAGAAGTGAAGAAGCAAGACTTCTTCAGAGAGAGAGAGAGAGAACTTCCACTCTCCACCAAGCGCCTCGTTTGCTCCGGCCATAAGGACGCGAAAATCCCTGATCCAGACGACAGCGATTCTCTCCTACCGAGAGAACACCTCCCGCGGCCGCGCTGCCTGGGCCCACGGAAGCTCAGAAGAATCCCCCCCCTCAATCACCACGATTGCATCGTACCGTAAGGCGAAATAGATTCTGGGCAGAGTTAGAGAGAGTTCATTTGTGTTTATTGCATCTTGTTTGTGTGCTTAAAGTACTGTTCATTTTTATAACGTGGTATATGCTTTATGATCACCGACGCTGGCGATCCCTGAAATTGCTAGTGTTGTGTAGAAGTTACCGTATATTCTATGCTACCGTGATTCGTGTCGAGACAGCCGCAGTGAGGTAGAAGTTGCTTCTCATCAGTTCAGGAGGTCAAAACCGCCAGCTGAGACAAAGAGTCGCGTTTCTGAGCTGACAAATACACCACGATTCTTAGCTTCAGGTGATTATACACCAACATATGAATATTATATTTAATTTCTGCAAATAGATCCCCTAAAATCATACACACTGGACCTAAAAGGAGTATATTGTCCTACTTGTAAGTCCAAAATTGAGAGAAGCAGAACAACTTGTTTTTTCCTGATGGTGCTTGAAAACAATCTGCCCACTGAGCACTGATTGCACCCTCCCTGTTAATGCAAGATGACTAATATGAGATCTAGATCTAAAGAGATAGATAGATAGATAGATAGATAGATAGATAGATAGATAGATATATACACACACACAGTATATATAAACATTCACTATTTAGACAGCAGTCATTATGCCAATGTCATTATGCACGCAGGCACACGGGGCTCTATAGGCCCTGATTTTCTTTGAGTGCATCTGACATACAGGAAGCTGATTGATTTGCTGCCAACTTGAAGGCGCAGACTCCTTGTGTGTTCTCGTCTTTCATCTGGGCTACAGATCAGGCCTCTAAGGAATTCATTGGTGGAGTGTCGAGGCTCAGACAACCTGCAGGTTTCTATGGAGACGGCACATGTCTCCCCGTGGATCGCTTTCGCCTAAGAAGATGCATCAACAACATTCATTCTTCGCTGAAATAAACAAAAACCTTATCGCAGCTCCCTGACTACAGTAACTAATAATATCCAGATCTTCTGTGCATTCATTGCTTTACATATCATCCAGCCACCAAGAGTCCTGTTTATTTGGCATCAGTAAAGCACAAATCTACACAGAATTTAACATTTAGTAGCCATATCTACTAAAATGGCACCACAAAATATATATTCACAAGAATTTACAGATAAAACAATGTGCGTGATGTGACAACAACCATGAAATGCCTCTCTTACAGCAGCAAAGCCCGATGAATCTGCTGTGAACTAACTACTGTTGCCCGAGGGCCTCAGCCAGAGTGATAAAAGACCTTCAGAGTATTCCAATTAGCTGAAGCAACAGCAGAGCCAAGAAATAAGAGTCAGAGAGAAAGCCCCATCCATTAACATCCACCCTTCATTATTCATCATCTCGTTGGCCACTGACGGTCATCATTGGTTATGCATGTTAATGCATGCATGAAGCTCCACTTCTGGAGATTTAGAGTTGAATCTGAACTATATTATTTGAATAACAATTTAATAATGGATACGCACATAGATCAACCATCAAGGCAGTGATTTCACCACAATAGCAGCTGGAATAATCGACAAGACAACCGCTCCCCACAAGGTCCATTCAGTAGCTGTTCTGGACCTTTCAATCATACAACATACTCTTCATCCGATGGGAGTTGGCATAGAAGTGCAGATGTTCAATTTGCATGTTTTTCTGTGTACTTTCATCTGGACGTCTTGCCCATGTTGGCTCAACCTTGCAGTGAGATTGTTTTGTCACCGTCCTAGTTCCCGAGTGAACTTTTAGTCTCAAACTGAAATCATTTTAACATGACACACACAGCGTCCCTCAAGGTAGAGGTGGACCATGAGGCTGCTGCATAGTATTACCTCAACTGTCACGCCCACAGCACCTTGTAGTTCAGTTTGATTATAATGGTGCATGAACTAGCTAGGCAATCCTGTCTCATCCATACCAAAACCTGATTATGAATACACTCACCTAGAACGTTCACAAGCTGTATAATAGTCTCAGTGTAATCAGTTTCTATGACAACAATAATATTTGATGATTTTCCTGCAGCGTGTTCCTGCATTATGAAGCAACCCTGCTTTAATGTTTTCTATCAACGTGTTACCAGGAATCAGAAAATCTCTTTCAAACAGCAAACACAGCACAAGAGAGAGACTCTTCTAATAGTCTCTCTCTCTCTCTCTCTCTGCAAACACAGGTGTGTGTGTTCGTGTGAGCATGATTCAGAGGTACGATCAGAGCAGCACAAAGAGACAGACTGAGAGGTGCTCTGTATCAAAGCTAAGGCAAATAGGAGATCTCATTCAAACCAGTGTGTGCTAGAAGGTAATTCTGCTGCTACAGACGTCCTGCAATCTCTGGATAATGGCCCACATCCAGGTATATCTGAGCAGACTGGTGGCACACAGCCAGCTGGACAAGGAGAGCATGAGAACACATAGCATAGAGTCGCCATATGGTATAACCCACACAGAGTAATAATAACTATAAACTGAAGGGACAACGGTACAAACAACATCTATCTTCCATTAAAGGGGAATGACTCATAACTCATTAATACATTTGAATTCTTTGTTAACCCATCTAGATTAATGCTGATTTTCATGAAGTGCTATCTGTGAATAAAGTGAGCTATCATACTGTGTTGTTGCATCTATAGACTCCATCAGGTTGCATTTGTGGTAAACAGTACACTATAAGTGAATCCCAGTAAGGCAATATCAGCACACAGGAGGCAGGATTAATTATGAGAAGGGTCTGGTCTCCACTGATAAGACTGCAAACAGAGCTCGGAGGAAAACAAATCAGACCAAAGTCTCCTCATTCCTCCTTTCACAAGATCCAGGAGGAGATTTTATCTTTGTTTACTTTGCAGAAATAAAGTCTTGTAATTTATGAAGCAATGTGAGATGAAACAAATCCATCAACTGTTAAACGGATGTTAAACAAAGTGCCCCTCAAGCATAAATCCGGCCAGGAAAAGGAAATGAGTAGCTTAACATTCTTTAAATAAAAAAAAAAATACTGTTAATGTTCCACTACTTCAGTTTTTAAGTGTACAAAACAAACAGCAGTACAATAGTTTAGGTGATGCTGGAAAGCTCCCCGGGTTGGGTAAGGGTTGGGTAAGGGTTAGTTAAGGGTTGGGTAAGGGTTGGGTAAGGGTTAGTTAGGGGTTGGGTAAGGGTTGGGTAAGGGTTAGGTAAGGGTTGGGTAAGGGTTAGTTAAGGGTTGGGTAAGGGTTGGGTAAGGGTTGGGTAAGGGTTGGGTAAGGGTTGGGTAAGGGTTAGGGTTGGGTAAGGGTTGGGTAAGGGTTAGGTAAGGGTTGGGTAAGGGTTAGTTAAGGGTTGGGTAAGGGTTGGGGTTGGGTAAGGGTTAGTTAAGGGTTGGGTAAGGGTTGGGTAAGGGTTGGGTAAGGGTTGGGTAAGGTGATAGTGCTTTTGCGAAAACCTTCCCTGGACAAACAAAGGTAAACAAAAACAATTATACAATTGCATTTTGCAAAGTCGATCTCTGATCCACTTGCCCAACCAGGCAATTGGGGGAAAAAAACATTATCGTTGAACCCTGAATGGTGCAATAGTAAGATTTAGTAAATGTCACTAGAGTGAAACTAGCTAGTTTAAATAACTTATGAAGAAGAAACTTGGTAATGGATTCATGAATAGCTGGTGCAACCCAAGACCTGTGGCCTAAATGCAGTGGTTAACCAAGAATGTTACACAGAAATAACTCCTGAATATTTGAATGTGTTTGACAGCTACAATACAAAAGTCCTGGACTTCAATCCTTCATATCAGATGAAGGCTGTAGGGTAGTTTTACTAGAATAACAGTAAGCACCCTCAGCAGGCCTTATGTGATGATATTAAGCCGTAATTATCAGGTCCAGAAAAGGATCATATACCTGGTGTGAATCTTAAGCAGTTTTCTTGAGATAAAACAAAGAAAACAGACGTCAGAAATAGTAAACAAATCATTATTCTTCTTCATCCAAATGGATGTTCATGCTATTTGAGTGTTGCATCTCAGCCTCAGCACTATTTGCTCCCATGTAACAGGCTTCACATGTCAGAGATCTTCATGCTCCATATGTCCTCTCTCCAAATGTTGGGACCTAAAATCCACAGCAAAAGACTGCGGTAAGCTTTCTGAGAATTCACAAAGGTGAAGATATCTAAGAAGAAACGTAATTCATGGTTTGAATGTCAGACAGACCAAATGGTAGCGACGTCTCATTTGATCTCTGCTGAACTCTGGTCTTCTGTTTTACTGCGGTAACCTCAAATGATGATAGGTGACATGAAGAGCAGCTGAACAGACCACCAGAGCTGCTTCCATATTTCTCTCTCTCTCACACTCACACTCACACACACACACACACACACACACACACACACACACAGTGTCTGACTGTAACAACCAAATGGCTCGGCAGAAGGCTGATGGTTTGCTCTGCCATAAACACCACAAGCACAATCTGTTTCCTTCATGCTGCTTCTCCACCAGTATGATTACTGAGCTGCAACACCAACACCCAAAACAGAGAGGAAGATACATAATCTGCTATTTGATATGGGATTGTTTTCTAATCTTTTCAAAGAGGTTGACTTTCAGAAGAGCATCCGAGCCATTTATCTCAGGTGTCATCATCAGGGATAGACGGATCGTTTAGTACAAGTGTCACCAAAAGGCTCATTATATCAGTGCGCAGGGTGAAACTGTCCAGCTTCATACAAACTAACATGTTTGTTTTTCCGATGCGATAAGTGGTGAGTTGAAAACACCCACCTCCTTCTTGACGGTGCGCAGCAGCCTCTGTCGGGTCTCTGCCTCTGAAACACAGCACAAACAGTCCCACACAGGACATATTTACAATCTGCCACAACTTCACTTAGTCTGCAACCTCAAAACAACGCAAACACAATTTTAGAAATATTGTTTTGTTGCCCGCACCTGCCATGATTGTTGCCATGGATCCTGTCTCCTGTTTCCTGCAAGCGCAGCGCTCTCATCAGCTGAGTGCTGCTCGTACACTGCGAGCACAACTCCACCTCCTCCAACACGCCTCTTAAAGACACACGCAGGGCCTCCATAGGGTGGCCCAGCGTCTGTGGAACAGGCGAATAAGTACAGGGTTTTTTTTTTTACGTTTGCTTTAGCACGATTTCACACGACACACAATTCACACAAACACACACGCACAAATGGCGAAACACCACAGATCTTATGCAAAATGAAACATTTAAATCTAATTAATGATTTATAAACGACTCGTACGATGTGATTGTCTTTGAACCAGTTACGCAATCTTAACTCAATCGTATCCACTTTTAACATGTCCACCTTTCTAATGATATAGTCTCGTTTTGATTTTTCAAAGATATTGTTAGAGCCAAGTACATGAATATATAAAGTACAACACACAAGAGTGTGTTGTACTTTACACTGATATCTATTTCTCTCCACATTGTAAAATCAATCAATCCATCAAATCATGTCCACATGGTGCACTGATTATCAGAACAGAGCATAAATACAATATAGTACATAAAAAGAAAGCATGGATCATAGTGTTTTGTTTTCTAATTGCTAATATAATTTTTTGAAAACAGGCCTGTTGCTTGTTTTGTTGTCTTCCATTGTTGTAAACATGAACTCACCTGTAGTCTTTTTTTTAGAGCTATCATCCTGATTGATGAGTTGATAACAGGTGTTTGGCCCGGGGGACATGTGTATTGGCCAATTGGTCAATGAGTGGCATTTTGAATGCCAGTGTTTTGAAATGGCAAACAAGTTGTTTGCAAAGCAGAAATTGTGTTTTTAGAGACTTGAGCTGAGGTTTTGCTCTCTGGGAGTCAGTCTTGATAATTGTTCTTTATGTTATTTAAGTATGTTAGCAATTGAAAAAAACCCTGAAAAGCAAAGACGGATCAGATTTCTAGCATTAAAATCTGAGAATAATCTTCATTGGATAGTTTCCCACATTAAGAATTGGGTAGTTGTCCACATCTTTCAAATTAAACGTCAATATAAGTTTCCCTGAATGAGACAAAATACTGTGATATCCTTATGGAGTTTTTTTCACGCAAAGACAATCAATGTAAATAGATAAATAAGTGACCTGAACTAAAACAAACATGGACATGGAGTACATGGTCTCTTGTTATATATTTTCCTGACATGGGAACATTTGAGCTTCATGCCATCTTGTGGTCAAGACAAGGAAAGACAAAATCTTATGACGAACAATTGTATCTCTAATTCATACAGATCTTTTCTAAATTGTAATTTATCTGGTCAAATCGTGCTTTATTCAAGAAAAATGTGCCAAAAAATTCTACAAATGCATTTAACCGTTATGATATGGTTGATTCTATTATTACAAGGTATCGGTTACACACACACGTTATATCACATATTTTCCAGAAGATGCCATTTTTGACACCCAAAACTCAGAAAAGACCAGCTCTTTCCTTATGGACTTCAGCTTTTCAGCTTTAATCTACATAAGAATCAGTGTTTCCATACAGCAACATTTTTTCACATTCCAGTGTGTATTGTATGAGTGAGAAGATGTTCAGGAAAACCACCATCTGAGTCAAAATACGAGCGGAAGGTGTTGGTAGGCGTCAGTGCACCAGAGTGTGGAGTTTCTTTGGGCCACGAGTCCAGTTCTGCCTGCAGGACTGAGCTGTCAGGCAGATCAGGTGGTGAAAGGATGGAGGGATAACACAGAGTGACAGACTGAGAGGAGCTGGGCTGGACCCCCCAAAGCCCCCCTCATAGTTTCAGAACAAACAAAATCCAGATGTTCCTTATTCTGTTATTGAACATGTCAAGATGTAATGCATTGTCCTAAACACGGAGTCCTGAATTTTACACGATAATACTTGACCAAACAGCAATTACTAGACTTTTCAGACATCCAGGAGTTATTATGTAAAATATTGATTTAAGATAGGGAGCGGCAGTTTACGTGTCCTTGCCTGAGAGGAAGGAGCCATCCCTGCTTCATTGCGACGACTGCTCTATTTTACACACAAGCATCCTCTTCAACACAGGATTCCCTCGCTGGGATGACTCAGGCCTTGCAGTGGCTTTACATAATGTGAGGTAACAGCATGTCTTGTTAAATGCCATACCAGGACTTCTGCCTGAGTAAACAACACACAAGAGCTCCTCTTTGCCGTCGCTTACTTGTCAATGGGAGAACAACAGCGTGTATTGACAGTAAAGGGAGAAATCTGCAGGAACGTAGATTCAGATGATCAGAAACCAGTAACCAGTAAAGAGGAAAGTTACATTTATTAAGTTGTATGTGCTCTGGATACAATACAGATTTACAATGAGGCCAACAGAAAACAGTTCAAAACAAAATCAAATTCAACATTTCAGAAATGACAGTGCTGCCGTGTCCATGTGTCTGTCGGCAGAGACGGCCAACATGCACATGTCCATGTGTGATTAGACTCGACGTGCTCTAACAGGCACCAGGGCGTGCAGTAGAGGCTCTTGTCAGTCTGATGTTCTTCTGCCCATATGTGGCCATGCAGATTGACAGGATTGTATATTAGAGAAGGCCAGTGCTATATGGTTTGTTGTTATGTTGTTGTGCTTTTGACCCTCAGGGGCCACCACACTTCGGCTGAGCAACCGCAGCCTTTTCCCCCTGGCTGATTGTTTACGCTTCCCCATCCTCGCTCTGGCAATGAAAAGACATGTTGAGTCTGGAGGAATCTGAGTTCTATCTATCTATCTCCATCCATCCATCCATCTATCTATCTATCTATCTATCTATCTATCTATCCATCTATCTCTCTCTCTCTCTCTCTCACTCTCTATCTATCTATCTCTATCTCTCTCTCTCTCTATCTCTCTCTCTATCTATCTATCTATCTATCTATCTATCTATCTATCTATCTATCCATCCATCTATCCATCTATCTCTCTCTCTCTCTCTATCTATCTCTCTCTCTCTCTCCATCTATCTATCTATCTATCTATCTATCTATCTATCTATCTATCTATCTATCT